TGGCTCTTTTCCCGCCTCTTTGTAATTATTACCTTAAGCATTTTTCTTGCATATTTGTAGTGTAGTTATCTCTCTATTGCCTTTTTCTGATGCGTTTATTTTTGCTTTTGCTCGATATTCCTGAAGGTTTCCTTTTACGGTAAATTTCTTTCTCACTAATCGTAGCATTTCTTGTGTGTCACTTACTGCGATGTGTGAAATGTTAAGATTAGCTGCTTATGTCGCTGATGTCTGGAGTCGACTGAGTCGCTGAATCGAAGCTTTATCGCGCTTGATCGACAAAACAGTTTTTACAGATTACACGAGTACTTTCTCCTGCGAATTTATTTTGAGAACGCATTAATTCGAACAAGGGAAGTGGTGTTTGCGTTGGGAAGTCCGTGTGAGCTTTTAATTAACTTTCGCGTGAAAATAAAGACGTCATGCATGTCAAATTTCCGACGTGACAGTCATCATGCATCTTCGTGACAATCACGAGGCTAATTTCTATATCTGACTATGACGAATTCTTAGCGTGGTCTACCACAGTCATGCGTTCCACGAAACAAAAAAAAACAAAAACACTACCAAAAAACGTGAATGAGGATGGAGGGCATCGTGTTTCAAAATTCTTGGTCCGCTAGATAGACCTCTGGAGGGAGACCAACCAAATACCAGCAGAAGATGAAATCACAAGGCGAAGATGGAAATAGATAGGGCACGCCCTTCGTAAAACAACATCAAGTGTCACAAGACAGGCCTAGGCCCTCTGCTGGAATCCCTAGGGTAAGAGAAAGAGAGGACGACCAAGGAATACCTGGCGTCGAGATCTCGAGGTTGACTTCAGAATTACCGACCACCCATGGAGCCAACTAGAAAGGCGGACTGTTGTTGACGGCCTATGCCCCCGAAGGAGGGTTAGGTTTCGATAGATAGATAGCTATTGGAGGAGTCTAATGAAATAAGTTGACGTTAATCGATACCCTCTGACGAAAATTAGGTCGACGCCTTTTAGTTTTAACCCTTTACACCCTAACATCAGTATGCATATTCTCCGTACTGTTCTCCATATATTTCTAAAGAGGCTAACAAGGAGAATTTGTTTCACAATCAAGAGCTGCTTTAGTCGATGATCATCTCCTCTATTCTCATGACTTTGGTTTTGATCCAGGGGTGATATTGTAAGGAGAAATTAGATGCTAGTCACTCTTAGGGGCTAAAGGGTTGATGTGAATCTTACAAAAGCCCGATAGGAAAATTATCATATCAGGCCTTGCACCTCCACAACTTGATCGCGACGACATAGTTTAGCGGTGCCAGCCTGCTTAAAATTACAAATGAAGCAATCGCAGCCATTCAAGAGAAGCTTTGCAAAGAAGAGTGATGAGAGCCACTTGGTATCAGCAGACGGAATCATGGTGTAATTGCAAGGGATTTCCTTGTGTAGCTGATTTCTTCGAAATAAAGTTAAACTAAGTGCATTTCTATAATAACAGAAAAGCATGCACCTAATCAGGCCAAGTGCAGGATGAGGGAGAAGCATGACATAAGTTGGTGCAAGCGAATATAAACTGTTTATAATCTCTTGGATAGTGCTTTAAATGATGAGGCCTTGTTGCCAAACGAACATGAGAGATGAATAAATTTGTTTAAGTAAAATTGAAAAAAAAATTCCTCAACCTATTTTCCGTGGAGTTTGTCAATGAATGAATATTCCTTAGCTTTTCCATGTTCATATTTTTAAATAATTAATTCGTTTCAATTTCGTATATTTTCCTTTTTTGAGGGCGCATTTGAAAACCACTATCAAGTGAACGCTTTAGTGTAGAACTTCAAGCTCTTTTTCTCTCTTAGTCGCCAAATCTGCACCTTGGTTCAGGGTATTTCTTGTGGAAACGCGGGAAACTGGGGATGAGATGCGTGCGTACAACCTAAGGAATTCGTAACTGCGCTAAACATCCTCGGTCATTCGCCCACGCTGACAAGTCGGTCCACGAATTCTATAACTTGAAAGTGTTGAAAGTTTTGAGTACGTCAGATGTTGAAAAATTCAGCAATCTTCCTGAGCATGGGCAGAAATTGGAGGGAAAGGCAATCAATAACAAGGAAATACCCATAAGCTAAACTCGTGTGTAAATACAGCAACTATTTTGTTTGTCTTTCGTTTGTTTACCTTAATTTTGGGCCGTCTACCCGAACGGGCCGATTTTAAAAGTTTGTGCGAAAAACTTTTCTGCAGATCACCTTCACCAGTTAATAACCCCCATCAATAAAACAAAATTATGACCAAAGCTTTAGATGTTAAAAATTCAGAGCCAAATTAGGGTCAGTACGTTTTTATTCTACGGAAGCTGTTTTGTAATATCTTGGGATCCATGCAAATATTTGGCCTGGAAAAACACTTGGAACGGGCAAATACTTTCAAGCTAGCGTAAACTAGAAAGTTTTATTTTCGTAGAAAAGTTTGTGTTTATTCATCGTGGTGAATAACAATAAAAGCTAAGTTTTTTAGAAAGTTTTAACTGTTATGCCAGCTATCTTTGGATTATTTCTCTTTCAAGAAGGTTTTGTTTACAACTTTTACGCGCATGCCGGCAAAAGATATTTATCACGTGCAATTTATGTGACAACGGAATCAACTCGCATCGGCATCACTTTTTCTTGCGGCTTAGTCTCAGTCAATCCGCCATAAAACTCATTTGAAAAGTTGAAATGTATCATTTGAGAAATGTTGGACAAGTTAAAAATTTATTTGAAGGAAATTTATTTTAATGTGCGATTGTATCAGCAGTTACGAATTTCTTGAATTGCTCTTGTCGTTTGATATAGCTGACATAATTACTATTATTACTGAACACGTTGTCGTAAATGTTGGTTTGAGCTGCACATCGTGTTGCATATGTGTTACCTGCGTAGCAGACAATTTTTTTTGTTTGTCTTTCGTACCCCTTGCGGCTTTGCAGGCGCCCCATCTCCCCTCCCCCCAAACCAAACCACCAGCTATACGCAGACTAGTGATTAAGACCTCGCATGAAAAATCGCCGATTCATTCAATCGATTCCGATTCATTATTCATTCATACTAACTTCCCTACCATTCTACCTGATTGATGTAGAAAACTGGCTGTATCTCTTCAACCAATCGAATGGCAAACTGAGTAATTTACGCCTTGGTAATTTGTGTTTTCCCGCGCTTCAGCAGGTTGGCTTTCTCCACTTTCAGCTCCCATTGACTCCTTTCAACATTTCTGTGTTTTGATTGGCCGTTGTCATCAATTTATTTTGGTTTTGTTTTCGCGACATTCAATCGAAATACACTCTGCTTCTAGTTTATGGTTTTGAAAAATTTGTTATCAGCCTTGATGCAATTCAGTCGACTTTCATAATGTCGTGTTTCGGCTTTCAGTAGACTAAAAACACCTAAGACGTCTCATTGAATTATTTTACCAAAAAAAAATCCTTTCTAAATATTTCAATCTTTTGAGGTAGTTTCATGCTGTCTGGAACGAATAAATAGGTTTTCTATTATAAAGCTGAACAACACCCATTCCCAATCTAAGTGAGAGCATCATCGGCAAGAAATAACATGTAAAAAAATCAACAAGACTTTATGGGGCTGGGCACAATATAAAATTCAAATTGAAGCGCTTGAGAAACAAATGAGACCATTACCTTTCAAGTAAAGCCATTGTAGTCGTATTTATTCCCGGTGGCATATTATGTTTACAACGGAGGCAGATGTTCCAGCCTGTAGTTTCGAAACAAACATTGGATACACTTTTTGTTTTCTAAAGCGGCCTATTTTTAGGAAACAATTCAACTGAAAGTTATGTTTGTTTACACAAAAATATAATTTCCTATTGAAGGCGCTGTTTCTTTTCCCGGCAGACATCAATTTATGGATAAACAAAAGGGAAGGTCAATTATGATTGGATGTCTGCGAGGTAAATTTCGCTCGCTGTGTTTGTGATATTGTTAGGAGATACTTCCAGGCGCTAAGAAAAATGAGTAATTTAACAATATATTTGTTACTGCTGAAAGCTTGCCACCTTTGTAAGTACTTCCCTTTTCAGTTATCTTTTTATACAGATCAATATCGCAGTTTTTTAGGATCCAGAGACAAAGTAAGACGGATTTTTTTTTATTCGTAATGAGGCACTTTAGGACAAAAATAGTAATTGTAAATTTTAATCACACAATTTTCGGACAATATTTAAGTCCTCCTCTTTGCGGCGAAAATCGGCATGAATCAAGGACTGGTTCATAGAGTACATTTTGCTTAGAAAATTATCATATTTAATGCATCTTTTCCTCACAAATTTTCTTTTTTATTTGATAAACAAATTTAGTTCACCCTTACTGCAGCGCTGAATTCTGAGAGCGCCTAACCAGGTAAAATTATGACTTTGCTTTACTCAAGCTTTGTTTATAATTCCTTTGAGATATCTATTTTTTTTTTAAAGCCTAATCCTAGTTTTATGATATAGTAAGTGTCTTATCTTATGAGTGATTAGCATTAACAAGCCTGTTTACAATTCAAGCGAGTGACAGAATTATTATTTTTTCTCTTTGCGGGATGTGAAGATAAATTTCTGTAGCTACCCCACGAATTCCTATTCATGTAATGAATGAGAGCATGTTTAGAATCGTGCAATAGTTAGACTGGAGTGAAAATGTTTGTGTTATATTGGCTTTCGATAAAACGAAAGAGGATTCGATTGTGTGATGCCTAAGGCTTTTTTTAAAGGATTATATAGGCGAGACAAATCCGCTGAAAAAATAATCTCCATTATTTGTTCCGACGTTTCATTCTCCTAAATTAAATCTATTCATTTTGAAGACTAATTGTTTCTGGCAAGAACTTCTAGAAAGACTGCATAAGGCTGTGCGAATCTTTTCTCGAAAAACAGATTCTCGCT